TACTGTAATGTCCAGCTCACACTACACGAGTTGTCGGCCCATTTTCAAAACCTGAGAGACACATTAGCCAACAGAAATCCTAGGTATAACGGTTCAGTCGGGTTTGATCGTGCCATGTGGTGTCCAGCCACATGGGCACAAAATAATGGCTACAAGTCCAGTTAACTAATTTTAAAACCAGGCATTAATCAATGCTTTACTAGAATCTACCTGCAATGCATGTGGCTAGAGTCAGCGTAAAGTCCTGACTGAATGAAAATCATTTTAACTTATTTATGTCACGTTAACGAAGAACAGCTGAAAACCTACCGGGTTCATCAACTGCGGTAGCAATTTGGCTCCAACTCCTCTCCTTGTCATTTCTATATTCTTTGCACAAAACGTTGAATAAACATTAATGTTGTTTCCACATATCATCTCCGATGTCCGCTGAACTTCGGGTTGCGCTGTGTCAGCTGTTTGGGATTCCTCTCCGTAATTTCCCCTCAGAAAGCACGGAGAGAATCCGCGCTTTCTGATTGGCTACCTGTCACATTCAGCGTTAAGCTCCCAGTCGGGGAAAACCCCTGATTTAGATCGGAGCGGCCACGACGATCTACCGTAACACACCACACACTGCAGGATGATCGGTTACGAAATCACCAGCGACAATCTTAGATTGGCCAACATTCTAAGATTGTCATAAGGGGAAAATAGGGGCAAAAAATCGTGTAGTGTAACTACTGCATTAGGTAGTCGGATGTGCCCATCTTCTCTATCTAAATCTAGTGATTACTGAAGGGCAATATAGTATACAGACTTCATAATCTGCACTCTTTTGGTTGAATGCAGTATTTGTTTCCACTTTGGTTTTATGTTTAGATTTTATTCAAGTACGTTTTTTGTTAATGGAGACTGAGAATCCATTTTATTTTTGTTTTTGGTTGTTTTGTTTATTTAGTTTACCAGTTCCAGTGTTATGTGTTCTTTTGAAAATAAAGTACATCTATCTATGGCAGGAAATCACATGCATTATTAGTCATTTCCATTAAATCAGCATCAAAAGGTCTTGTAACAATACTATCGTTTATCGCAATAATTTTTTTAGACAATTAATCGCTCAGCAAAATTTGTTATCGTGACAGGCCTACTCCTAGTACATTTACGCTCATTTTTCAATTTGACCCTTTCTCTTGAGAGCTTTTAAAAAGTATGTAAAAACATAATAAAATCATGTTTTTTTACAATATGGTGAACATTTTCCTTTTAAATGCCCATTAAGAAACTCTTCAGTGTTTCATCCTGTAAACGTCAGCCTGACCGAGCTATTATTCTCCAACTGAATGAGACGGCGTTGAAAAGCTGCGGCTGTAGTTAATGTCAGCTGATAACTGTGAAAAGTCGTCTTTTGTCTTGCGCCTTATCCTGTTTTGAGGTGAACAGATTGCTGACTTAATTCGGATTTTCATTTTAAAAGGCGCGTTTATTCCCAAAATGCTTCCCACCAATTAGCTGGTATTGAACTTTGCCTCCTGTCCCTTTTTTTTTTTTTTCTTATCCTGCAGACAAGAAACGGCTACGGAAAGACTGTGATGGAGCTCAACACTCCCAAAATCGACCAGGTTCCAATCGTCGATGTCATGTTGACTGATTTCGGGGACCCGAACCAGAAGTTCGGGTTTGAAGTTGGACCTGTCTGCTTTCTTGGATGAACAAAGATAGAAATTTAAAAAAAAAAAATAAAAATAAAGACTTGATGAGGACAGGAAATAAAGTCAAGCCAGGACATCCTGGGTGCCACCAAATTTTAACCCCCCCCCACCAAACCCCAACCCTTTTCTATGCCACATGCAAGTTTTGAATGAGCGATGGCGTAGCAGACATGTCCTTCCATGTCTGCGCGCGTAATCCCGGAAGCGCTTGTGGGGCTCGAACCACACGACTATAGCACGCTACGGACAGGAAGGCGAGGGACGCAGGAGCGGCGTGGCAGACGAGGAGGAGTCGGAGGCGACCGACGGACAGGGCCTGGCGACGCGAGGCGAAACGGATCTCTTCGCCCGAAACCCGCCCCCCTCCCCACCCCCAGGTGCTGTACGAAAACAACAAATGGTGCTTGATCCAAAACACGACACACACAAACAAAAAGTATATAGTGGTGCTAAGAAAGAAGGTGTATTTTGATAATTATATATATAAATGTATTAAAAAGGAAAAAAAAAAAAGAAAAAATTTTATTATTATTTTGTACAATACTGTTATTTCTAAATCCACTTTCAAAACTTGCATGTGTATCAGAACCTGATTTGGGCTCAGACGTATACAGAGTAAGTTGGAACCATGCATACGTACATTCTGGGTTTTAGTTTTTGGGGTTCTTGTTGTCATTTCCTCTCTACGTTCTGTGTACTCGTCATGAAGCAAATAAAAAAAACAAACTATGAGCATTTCAACAATCCTATTTTCAAATTAGACTGTATGCCCCATTGTATATACTGACTGTCCAAAACTTGAGTTTGTTTTTTCTTTTGGTTGTTTTACTCTTGTGACTGCAGGTAAAACAACTGCATTTATCACAACAGCACAAATTACGGCGACATCTCCCACTAATGTTGCGACCCTGTGCTCCTAGAAGGCAATTACGACCTCCATTTTCCTCTTTATTTAAATATATTTGTTGTTATTATTATTTTATTTTATTTTTTCCAGTTTCACTTTTTTTTTGACTGGCTTTTGCTTGTATACCTCAGACTTTCTTGATAACCTTTAAAAAGCAAGGACTCTATGCCCTGTATATACCCTGACTAAGCGAATAAATTTATATTTTGGGTGGGGATATTTTTAAAGGTAAGAAAAACCTAAACTTGTTCGACATCCACTGTTCAGATCCTTCTGTGAATGCAATGAGAAGCCCTTGCAGTAACCCATTTTTGTTACTAAAAATGAGGAAATGTTTTATTGTGCTGTTTTTTTGTTTTTTTTTAGTTCATTTAAATATTAAAAAAATGGATTCTAAACAATAGCGAGCCAAATGTCTCAGTTGTGTGTAAAAGATTTTGGATTGTAGAAAATGTTTATAGACCGGATAAAAAAAACCTGAAACACACATTTTGATTTAGATGTGTTTGTGTCTGATGGTTATTTACTTGCAGGAACCATTAACTTAGTACAAAAAAAAAAACTCTCATATACCTGCATAAAAAAATTACATTCTCTCATTCATATTTTTGTTAGAAAAGTTCCAAAACTTTTAATGTTCAAATGAGCCATTTGAACACCATGGTTCAAATGTGTTGAACCATAGTGAAACAATTTAATTTGCTTCTTTTGTGTGTGTGTGTGTGTGTGTGTGTGTGTGTGTGTGTGTGTGTGTGTGTGTGTGTGTGTGTGTGTGTGAAAAGTAAAAAGAAACCTTGAAACCAAAACTATAACTTATTTGTGGGTTGGCAAAAAAAAGTAGAGTCTTCAGGGAATTAGAGAACAACAAAAAGGAAAAAGCAGATATTTCTTTTAAAGATGGCTCACCTGAGTGAGTTTGAAGGGAGAAAGCCATACAAACAGCATAGAAATCTGCCTGTGATTAAATTCTTGTTTCTGTTCAGTCAGTACATAGGACGGCGAATCCTCTTACGTATTTTTTTCATCCTGTGACATTATAACCTAAAACAGTATATAACATGTTTTAATGCTGTTCTGTCATCAAAAACATACCTGGAGTGTTGCTTTGATTTGTTCATGCATGTTTGAGGATTATTTGAATCTCCGTAGCAACCATTCGAGGTACCTTCACACCTGCTCCTACAAAGCCCCGCCTTTTTCCCCAAAGCTCCGCCTTGGAGCTTCAGTCCCTCCCCAACATAGCTCCTCCAGACTAGCGGCAGCAGCAATTGGCAAACACCTGGTTGAAGAAACTGAGCTTCTTCTCAGTCCAACTCTCCTGAGAGCAGTTAAAAACCTCATAATGGTGGAGCATTGTGGGTGTCTGAAAGAGTAGGAGGTTCTTACAGACAAAGGCTAAGTTCAAGGCGTTAGATATGATAAGTAAAATTAGTTTTCAGTTGTTTTTATTATATGCAACACTTTTTTAACAGTACGTTTGAACTACATTTCAGATATTTTGATTATTTAAAAACCTGCTGACCTGTCTGGTGTGTTCCTTCTATTTAATGATGTCGGTTGACGACTGATGTCCTTCAACAAACCCCTTTATAAGCTGTGTGGCTTCTGAAAGCAACAGGGTGCACTGAATTTTTATTTGGTGGTATCAAAGCAAATGGGGGGGAGGGGTATGCAAAAACATAAAACTAACATTTGGGGTTTTATTTCTAAAACAAATCTGAAAATCATGTCATTTTTCCCCCCCTTCTATTTCACAGTCATGTGCTGCTCTGTTTTGGTCCATCACATTAAATCCATTGAAGCTTGTAGCTGAAGTGCCAGTATGTACAAAAAAAAGAAAAAAAAAAGATTTCTTTGATTTTACTGAGACCCTGCAATGTTGCTCCATCAAATTTTGATATGGGAGAGAAAAAGAAACAACTAATTAGTATTCGGTCTTCCTGCGTCTCCATGAAACAAAATGTTAGCCGTGGTCTGCTGCGCCTCGAAAAGCCCGACCAGTCCTTTCATTTTCTTGCTGGACGTTTGAGAAGACATCTACATAATGGCAACTGACACACGTTCGCGTGAACGTGCGCGTGTGTGCGTGTGCTTGAGTAGCCAAAAAAATAATAGATGCCACTGCCTTCTTCTTTTATCTGCCGGGCTTTGCAGCAAAGAGCCCAATGAGAACGGGCCGCGTGGAACAGCGCCCACAAAAGAAAACAATCAAGAAAAGGCTCAGCCGTAACTTCACAAGAGAATCAATCAATCTGCAATCTACACCAGCTTTCAACCTGCTTCAGGGGCCTTTTTTTTTTTTTACAAACACCTTGTTTGTCTCAGGAGATTACTGCCATCTTTCATCTTTGTTTTAATGCATTCAGCACAATCTTTTCATTAAAACGAAGCAATCAAACTTTCCAGAGTTGCTCTGAAAGGTGGCTGCAATAATGTCCCAGATTATCATATAAATGCAACTTTTGTGACATTTGCTGGTGTAAACGGTTGTGTAAATGCGAGGACTCACCACCAGGATGTTATTCTGTATTAAAGAGATCACACAAAAAAAGATATAAAGAGCACGCTTCATTGGATGACCCATAGATAATTATTTGGACCTCTTTTTTGTTTTTATGGAAGATTCCATAACAATAGCCTCAAGGGGAACATTTTAGCTTTTATGAGCCAATAATAAAGTGCTATGCAGCAAATACTCCACTAAATATGAAGTGGAGTTCTCCTTTCTATCTGCGGCGAAGCCAATATTGTGTGTTTTATGAAACATTTTCTTATAAAAATACACATTTCTTGCCGGTTGCTATGCAAATCACCAAAGCTATTAGGTTCTCGAATCAAGATAAACGTAAACTGCTTTTGTTGAAATATCTGTAGTACAGCTACTGCTAAAAATTATTCAACATTCTTTTACTTTTCCACTAATTGTTTGATTTTAAAAGACTCAACATTTCATTAATAATAAATAATGAATGGAATCTGATAGTGCCTTTGAGGGGAGCTAAATATTAGCATTAGCAAATATTAGCAATAGCAAATATTAGCAATAGCAAATACTAGCATAGGTGGCTATTTTGTCTTTTTGGGCCATATAGAGCCATTCATTAGTCCATTTAAGTAATTCAGCTGCTATAAAAATGTTGTATGAAATGTGTCTTTAAAAAAGATTAGACATTTAAGTTTGATGCCTTGAATTTGGACTCTGTCCCTTTAAGAAGCTCCTGCTCTTCCTGTCACTCGTTTGCTGCTGCCGCTAATTGCCATGAAAGACTGAAGGATTTCTCAAACATGCATGAAAGAATCAGAGCAACGCTCCAGGTATGCTTTTGATTAGGGAATAACATATAAAGATTTTTTTAAAAAGCTGATTTTACAATAAACATCTCCTTTAAAGATTTTTTTTAATCTCAAAGAAATTACATGTATGCTCATAAAATAATCTGTGACTTATGTAGTTTTACTGAAAGGTGTTTAAGATCAAGATTTCATATTTTTAGAGATGACACCAAGGTAATAGAGAAATCACTTTACTGACACGTCTCCCAGCCTGTTTTTTTTTTTTTCTGTGAAATAATTAGCATTTCGGTGTCATCTTTTCACAACACAATTTTATCTATTCATAATTTGTTATGCAGAAACTGAAAGGAGTCTAAATGTCAGGAGTGAATACACACGGCCCTGCAGGGCTATATGGTCGAGGTCGAAAGCTCACTGAGTCACAACATGTTTGGTGTTAATTATGCTCTGCATATTTATTCAGTTTTAAGGTCTAACAGGATTAATTTCCTTCGTGATGGTTCGCTAATGAACGCAGTTTAGGCGAAGGGTTCTCATTACATGCATTTAGCAAATTGTTAAAGCAGCATATTCTCACTGGAGGAAGTTATCGCTGTATCGGGGTGTTTTAACACTTGATAGTCTGGTAGACTCGGTTCGATTGAGCAACAAAATGTCAACATTTGTTACATTTTCAGCTGCTGAGCCTCGTTCTCACACTGCACAGTGTAAAACGAACTAAACCCTTTAAAAAAACATCTTCATCCGGTCGCCTGTGGCGGCGCTGCACCAAGAATTACTGAAGTACACGACAGGGAAACCTCCGAAGAAGACACCGAGGACAACTTCCTTCTCCTCAAAATATAAACAAAAAAGGAATAGGGTAAGATTTTAGCGGTTGTTTCTTTATTGTCTGTGGTAAAAGATCACGATGCACTTCTTCCGCTAGCACTAGACCCGCACGTTTGTTTTAGTTGTATAATTTACCCAGAATGACCTGATTTATAGTTCGCTTCCGGTTTTTGGAGCGGTTTTGGACTGACGGATGTTTTTCAATGAAAACATTACAGCAAACTGATTGAACTTACTTCTTCTCTGTCACGGATTTACTTGGACTTTTGAAGCTTTTTTGGTTTTACAACATGCTCTGTTCTCAACTAGACCAATGTTTTTCAAAGTGTGGGCCGCTAGGAGGCGCTGTGGAGGCCTAGGAGAGAAAAAATATTAAAAGGTAAAAATTAAAAGAAAATGGAATCCCATAAATTCTTTAATCATATTTTTGTTTTCTGTTTTTTCAATAATTTATTAAAAAATACAATAAGTTACAATTTTTTCCTAACTGTAGGATTAGAATAATATTAGATGGCGTGATTAATAATCAAAAGAGGAGAATGTGTTGAAACTGATCTAGTAATACAGTCCTAATATATTATTTGATGATAAAATCTTCCACCACAGAACTCATGGTCATCTAAAATCAGACAGCATTTATACCAAATGAATAACTATTAACTAAAATAAAATAAAAAATATATTCTAAAAGTTGGTATTTCTGTACATATTTTGTATCATTGTGTGTGGGTTTGCAAAAGAGGGTCTCAGGTTAGAGGTCAATGCTCTTTAGGATGGAAACGTTTGGGAACCTTCAGCCTCGACTACAGTTGGGAACACTGCTTACTTGAAACCGCTCTCGTGGCTAAAGAAAACCTCTTCGATCAGTCTATTCCTTCAGTCACTATTCAAATAAGTGAAGAAATAAATGATTCTCAACAAATACTCTCGAGTCTCGCCTCGCTGTATTTCAAACTCCTCTCACTGTAATCCCCATATCTTCCTCCTCTTTACAGAAGCTGTTCTGCCCAGCTGGGAGCCCCTCCACTCACTGCCAGATGTATTCCTTATTTTTTTATTCCTGTGTGATTCGCCTAGCCAAAGCAGCGTATTAGGCATGCGGGCAGAGCGCTAAGTCAGCAGAAGCAGGAATTGAGAGGTAATCATTTTAAACACGATCCTGACTTTTAAGTTCTCTCGCGGTCCTCCGAGAGGGACCCAGCTAATCTAAACAATACTCCTCCATATGCCAGGTAAGCACTAAAAGAAGGATCTCGCTTTCTGATTCCGCGGGCAGCTCTGGAGTGTGGATGTAATCTGCTCCGAGCCGCTATTTTTGCTCCAGTTAATTAGCAGACAGTGGCCTGATGTTGGTCCAACCCT